GCCCAGGTTGGTCTCGAACTTCTGGTCTCAGGTGATCTTCCCACCTTGCCCTCCCAAAGTGCTGAGATTGCAGGCATGAGCCACCATGCCCAACCTCAAGTAGAATCTTGAATGATGTAAAACCTCAGGATTATCTATAGAACTACCAATTGTAACAAAATTGTTATTTTGACTTTTCTAAGTTCTAATTTCAGAAAAATTGATATTCGTTTATAATCCAAGTCTTGGTTCATATTCCTGCCTTCTGTGTTAAAATCCACATTTCCCTTTTCCCTCCCTACTCCTTTCCCTGACCGCTTCCAAAGAAACTTTCTCATTACTCAGCTTTGACATAAAAAACACTCCACTGCCACCAGCGCTTTGTCTTCTTCAAGAACTTACTTTAAAAGAATCATCACATCCAGTTACCATTAGCCAAGTCAATTTGGCCACTACTGGGATTTCCAAAAGGTCAGCAACTGAGTCATATCTCTGGAGTAAAAGACTGACTAAAAGCCACCTCAGACGAGGCTCATGCTGCCACCCAGAACCCCACCAGCTTGGACATGCCCCATTAGGGTTGGTGGCAGGAGAGCCAAGCAACTGCTTTGATTCTGAGAGGCTAGAGGTCAGAGGAACCTCTTGAACAGCCATGAACAGAAAGAACTGATGTGTAGGAACAGGAGGAATTATAAGCCTGGAAAGATTGATTAGAGGAGGCAATACTACCAACAGTCTTTGGTTAACATTTATTGACATGCATGTGCCAAGCCCAGTGGAGGGCCTGACATATTTTAACCTTCAAAATACTCTTGAGAGGTAAGTAGGACTGCCCCATTTATGTTGAGAAAATAAGACTGAGCTAGTCTGCTGAAGGATCCAGCTTGTCAGGAGCAAGACAAAAAGCCAGACCTTTCCACTTTATCACCGAGACTTCCTCATGAAGACTGAGAGATTGATGGAAGAAAGAAGAAATTGTGACAGGGAACTACAAATAAATGTGATAATAAAACAATGCAGAAAAATTAGAGGATTCAATAATTCCAAAACTTCCTGTATAAATAGATTTTATTCCTATTAAACTCTAGAAATAAGATATTATGTTGACAACCCCCCATCCATTAGGTTATATCGTAGACGAATAGGAACACATGCAAGACAGAAGAGGTTTTTCTTTTTAAATTATGAGAATATTGACAGAAACGGGTAACCTGAGAGAAACTGACAGAGTGTGTCCCCCATGGAATCATGCGGGCAATGGGGTAGATATCCCAGGAAACTGTTGTATTCTTAGAGTCAGCCAGATCCACTTCAAATTGGTGCATGCCAACAATTTTTTAATATGACAGTCATCTAGGCAACAAAAGAAATTTAGGAAGACAGAAAGGAATAATTGTTTGTGCCTTAAGCCCAGAGCCATTCCTAAGAATGGGGATTTTAAAGTCTGAGATGAGACTACAGAGATAAACAAAGGATTAAATAGGAAATTTACAATTCATGGAGATAAGTGCCATGTTTATGCACATAAGCCATAGCCTGAATAGTATCGACATTAATACCATCTGAACAAAAATTAAGAGACCACACAGAGCTACCCTCTGCCTTCTGGTTGTAAGGAAGATCTGTTGCGTCATCTTTCACTATGAGAGCAAGTAACAGCACAGTGCCTGCTTTGTGCTCAGGTGTTCATCAGAAACTTATTGCAAGGAGGAAGGTAGAAAGAGAAAAAAAAAAGAAAGAATGGTTAGATATTTGAATGTAAGACTGCTGAGGGACTAAAAATGAAAGCTCTTCCTTACCTTGGCTGCCTATCTATAGAAGTAAAAAATCATAACAACAACTCAAGGATACAATGAAATTGTACTCCTTCTTTACAGTTTATGAGTGCTATATATTCTCTGAGTACTAGATACTTGGAAACCCCTTAAAAGAACATGCAATTGTGTTGCTGAGTAAGACAAGCCAACTGCAAGCAAGGCAACCCCATGAGATTCAAACTTGCAACAACAAAGAGGTGTTTCAGAGCTGGCTTAGCCTCTTGAGTTCTTCCTTCCCCATCCCCCATCCTTCACTTTGTTTTACTTTGTTTGTTTGTTTGTTTGTTTGTGACAGGGTCTTGCTTTGTCACCAGGCTAGGGTGCAGTGGTACAATCATAGTTCACTGCAGCCTCAAACTCCTGGGCTTGAGGAATCCTTCCACCTCAACCTCCCAGGTAGCTAGGAATATAAGCACACACACCATACTTGGTTAATTTATTTTATTTTTTTAGAGATGGGATTTTTCTATGTTGCCCAGGCTGGTCTTGAATTCTTGGCCTTAAACAATTCTTCCCCCACCCACCCAGCCTCCAGAGTAGCTGGGATTAAAGGTGTGAGTCATTGCACCCAGTCTCCCATCCCCCCATTTGAGAATCCCAGGTAAAGAAAAGGTTATGGACCTGTATCCACCAGTGCCCCGCACTCTGTAGTAGGCACTCAGGGTTGTAGTCTTGTTTTGTTTTGTTTTCCCACACTGCTGCAAATATTCAAGCTGGCACTTACTAGATGCCCAGAGAGGTCACATTAAGGGCACATTAAGCTGAGAGAACAGTCCTTATAAACATAGACTGGACTGTATGGCTTTTCAACAGGCACCATCCTAAACCATTTTGTTCTGCCCATCTCCCATTTTCCTTCTAACACATTTCCCATTTCCTAGGCTAATTTCCTCTTCAGAGCCTCATTCTTTAGACCTGACTGTGACCTCTCTCTTGGCTTCTCAACGGCATCAGCAAAGATTCCAATCGGGAGTTTACAAATAGGGGAGGATCTGAAGGCCGGTTTGCTCTTAGAAAATGGCCGGCAAATTTCTGCTGAATCAACATTATTATATATATCACCCATGTAAATAATGTCCTTTGATTTATAACCAGACTTGTCCTTGCTGTACCCTGAAGGCTTTAAGAAGGATTGCACCATTCTCATTGGTGAAAAGCCTGAGTAGTCCATTTGCCACCACTGCATCTCAGTTTCTTGGCATGCACTCAGGTGAATTCCAGTGCTGGAATTTGGAATATGGATTTCATTGCCCAGAAATGACTCCTTTTTATATACCTAGAAAACAAATCCCACTTACCAAGATGTCTAGTTTAGGGAATGTGTGTGTATACCAACAAGCAGATGTTAGAGAAACATATCTGTAATTATTATTACAGGCTTTTGGTTTATCCTATTATCTGCTGGAGCATTGCTTCACAAAAGGAAATTGCTTTGCAAACAGTTCACTATGGATTATAGAATGTTCATGATGGTGTCAGCTTATAAGTTCCATATTGCCCTCGTCAGAGGTCTATAGAGCATGAACAGTATTTGGTATAACTGGATGTGACCTGCATGGATACTTTCTTAGTCAGGCTGTTATAACAAGATACCATAGATTGGTGACTTAAACAACAGATATTTATCACAGTTCTGGAGGCTGGGAAACCCAAGGTTAGGGTGTGGGCAGATTCCATTCCTGGTGAAGGCCCTCTTCCTGGTTTTGCAGATGCTCATCTTCCCACTGTGTCCTCGCATGGGAGAGACAGAGAAAAAGAGAGAGAGAGAGAGAGAGAGAGAGAGACTGACTGAGATTGATTGATTCCCATCATGGGAACTTGGATGAGGGGACACAGAAAATCAATCCACAGCATACACATTAACAAAACTAAAACCAGATATTGACTGTGTCAGCTTAATTTTCAGGTTCCAGGGGCAGGGACTGCCTCATCTTTCCATACTGCTTCCCTAGGTTTGGATTTAAAAGCTTAAGAACTGTTATGTCATACTGAACTTTAAACTCTACAGCCAAAAAGCATAGGTAAGGACTATAGAAATAAATGTGTTGACTTCTCATGCAAAATGACTATTGACTAAGTGTAACAGTATGAACTTGGAAAAAAATTAATGACTTTGTTTACTTAGTTGCCTTACAAATAGGGTAGTGTGATATAACAAGAATTTGGAGTACATATACCAGGACTTGAGTCCTAATATTACGTTGCTGACTATAGCATCTTGAGAAAGATATGCAACCTGTTTAGCCTTAGTTTTCCTGACTATAAAAATGAAAATAACAGTTGTAAGTCACTTAATGTTTATAGGCTTAGTTTCTTGTTTGTTTTACCAGTTGATAGTTATTAAGTGAGCAAGTATTTGAACTTCACAAAATAATAAATGCAAAAATGTTAGATATTCCTAAAGCCATTTTCAACTCAGATAATTCTAATACGATGGCCACAACATACCTTTTCCATGAGACCAGAACCTTTTTGCCTTTCACCTTTGTAGCCCCACAGCCAAGTTCAATGTCTGGCATATTGCGGACATTCAATATAAGTAAGTTGAACAATGACCTGCCAAGAAAAAGTTAGAATCCTAAGCCTGTGACTACAAATCTGTAGTGGTTGGTAAGTGAGCCAAACAGATTCTGGGTTCTTAGGAGACCTCCCTGACTCCACCAGGACTCCTTCATAACAGGCAAAGTTTGCACCTAGGAGAACATCCATCAGTAAAAGTTCTTTGAGCTAGGTAGGAATAGAAACAAGCAATTTTAAAAAGGGGTAGAAGGGAGAAAAGTTGACCTTTTCCACTTTTCTAAGAATCTGTCCTGCTGCCTGGGTGTGAAGATAATTTTTTTTTAAAGTTTTTGTTGTTTTGGATATTTTTCCCCAAAAATAAGTTACCAGTGGTAGCAACATGGAAGAATATACCTTTACCAGCTGATGAGTTTGCAAACAATTCGTTGGTATGGATTCCCCAGAACAGAACAGGGGCTGAGTGTCAAGAGAATCATATTTTCACTCTGGTTCTGTTAAAAAATTTCCTGGCAAAGTTTGGCTGTGGCGGCAAATGGGCTTGGGCGGCTCCTCGGCGGGTGGCGGTGGTGGCTGTAGCAGTTCCTCTTGGCCCTGTTAATGTCGGGGCCAGGCCCGGGGAGGATGGCGCCCTAAAGCCCGGTCTCCCTGGAGTAGGGGAGGGAGGGGACGGGGCGGGGACCGGCCATGTCGGAGGTGAGCCGGAGTCTGCTGCAGCGCTGGGGCACCAGTTTTAGGAGAGGCGCCGACTTCGATTCTTGGGGCCAGCTGGTGGAGGTGATAGACGAGTATCAGATATTAGCAAGACATCTACAAAAAGAGGCCCAAGCTCAACACAATAATTCTGAATTCACAGAACAACAGAAGAAAACCATAGGCAAAATTGCAACATGCTTGGGATTGCGAAGTGCAGCTTTACAGTCCACACAGTCCCAAGAAGAATTTAAACTGGAGGATCTGAAGAAACTAGAACCAATCCTAAAGAATATTCTTACATATAATAAAGAATTCCCATTTGATGTTCAGCCTATCCCATTAAGAAGGATTTTAGCACCTGGTGAAGAAGAGAATTTAGAATTTGAAGAAGATGAAGAAGAGGGTGGTGCTGGAGCAGGGTCTCCTGATTCTTTTCCTGCTAGAGTACCGGGCACTTTATTATCAAGATTGCCATCAGAACCAGGAATGACATTACTCGCTATCAGAATTGAGAAAATTGGTTTCAAAGATGCTGGGCAGTGCATCGATCCCTATAGTACAGTTAGTGTAAAGGATCTGAATGGCATAGATTTAACTCCTGTGCAAGATACTCCTGTGGCTTCAAGAAAAGAAGATACATATGTTCATTTTAATGTGGATATTGAACTCCAGAAGCATGTTGAAAAATTAACCAAAGGTGCAGCTATCTTCTTTGAATTCAAACACTACAAGCCTAAAAAAAAGGTTTACCAGCACCGTTTTGCTTTCATAGAGATGGATGAAATTAAACCTGGATCAATTGTAATAGAACTATACAAGAAACTCAATGACTTTAAAAGAAAGAAATTACAATTATTGACCAACAAACCACTTTATCTTCATCTACATCAAACATTGCACAAGGAATGATCCTGACATGATTAACCTGGAACATCTGTGAATTTTACCACTCGGTAGAAACCATCATAGCTCTGTGTAGCATATTCACCCTTCAACAGGCAGGAAGCAAGCTGTACCCATACCAGTAGGCCAGAGTGAGTCCACTGCAAAGCTGTACCACAGAATTCAAAGTCCAGCACATCACTGACGTATAAGACTTCTTTGGATACAGGTTTATTGTAGATTTCAAAATATGTTTTTACTTTTCTATTGTGCAATTCATAGTCTGTTTTGTAATTTACTATTACTCTTGCCCTGCTTCCTGGAACAATACTGTTGTGTGTAGAATGTGCTCATCTTCAAACTTAATACAGCAATAAGAATGTGCTAGAGTTTACACATTTGTTCACTTTTGCTCTCATATGCTCTTTTGGTTTGAGTTAACTTCAAGCTTTGGGTTGATGTGGGTAGGATAGTATCCAACTGTTTTGAGAGGAATTGAACCAATTATGTTGGGCCTCTTAAGGTCTGTCTGGATATTTATAGGATACTCCTCAGAAGTGGCTTCAGTTCACCCTGATCTAATAGTTTTCCTGCTTAGAAAGTATGCCTTGGCCAGATAGATATCCCATATGGGAATGTTCCCCAGGTTGTAGCTATGATTTTTTTCCAGATGACCTGATTGTTCTTCTGAAAGTGAGCTTATTTTTAGTCATGTTGATTAGCTGTTCTTCTACATCACATTGTTACTCTTTCTGATAATTCTCGGGTTAACGTTGGAACCATCTCAAAATAATTAAAAATTTTTGGATGGGTTTACAGTGTCTTCTAAATCATGTCATCTAAAAAAAGAGTCAGATGCTAACGAGCTACTGCAGGCATAATTGCTGTTTTTCTGACAACTGATTGTGAAACCTTAAAACCTGCATACTTCTTCTTATAGTGATGAGTATGCAAAATTTGGAAAGATATTCTATTTTTTTTATATAGCTGGATAGGATTGCCACTTATTTCTTATTTAGATATATTGACATTCATCCATATAAAATATGCAGGTCATTAGCTTATGATAAGTTGAATATTTACATTACTTTTAATGAGGCATAAATAAGACTTTCATGATACATATGAGGTAGATATTTGATACACAGAACATTGGTTTGTGGTGGGCTTTCTGTGGGTGAGATGTAGAAGCCACATATTTTAATATTCACTATTTTAAATGAGCAATGCATGAAGGGAATGCAGTGTCAGTATCTGGTGTATTTTTAAACTAGTGTAACAACCCTAGTCATACTATTCAGTATGTTTGCTTTTTAAACAAGTAACCACAATTAAGTTGTTTTAGCCCTTGCACTTCAAGAGATCTAGTCTTTACTTTCAGTTGTCTATTTGGTCAATTCTGTTTACTAGATGGATATTAATAAAAACTATATGAGCCTGAAAAAATTCTCAACAAAATTTAGTCATCTCATCTTTATTGGATTAATTTCACATTTTAAAATGATTCAGTCCACAATAGCTCTAGGGGTGAAGGATTTGCCTTAATAAATTACTTTGTTGTTCACTCAACTCTTGAGACTATGAGTTGTCAAACCCCTAGACTGTAAGCTCAGGGGGCAAGAACTGCATTTTCTTTGTGTCATGTAAATTTTCTAAGGTGCTTGGCAGCACTCTGTACCCTGTGGAGTACTCAGTCCTTTTTGTTTGATGTTGCTGATGCGACCTAAAAAAAATCTCTTAAAAAACATCTATTAAAATGTAGCAAAACTGAAAAAAAAAATTTCCCTGGGTTCTTATGTTATTCACAGCCTCTAACTTGCATAAAAAGTATGTTGATTGGATTGGCCTCAGTCTAAGTCTCTCTAGCTCCATCTGAGAACTCTGAATATGTTGTCATTCTCATTCAGTAGACCAACACCCCCAAATTTGCCATGGTTCCCCATTTCTGATGATATTTCACTGGAGTTTGGGAGCTTATGACCTGAAGATTCTCCCCTAACCTTGGGCATCTATAGCTGCCCCAGAAACTTTTGATCCTGCCCTCTGCCATTATGAATAATGTTCAGCATTAGTCACTGTAACTACAAAACAGCATTTCCATTTCACTGCAATTTGATTATAAATCAGCTCAGCAAGGATGTGGTAATAGTCATAGTCTCAATATTTTAATTAAATAAAACTCAAATAAGTTCAGGTCTCTTGCAGAGTGTTCACTTTGTGTGTTGCACCCGTTCACCTTACCTAGAAAAGTCTAAATGAGCAGGTGAAGAAGCCCTTATGAGCTGAGCCCCTGAAACTCGACATAATGGGAAGACGAACACTTTTTTCTTTTACACTGAAAAAAAAATGAAGGTCAAGTTCTGAGAATGAAAGTGGAGTCATCTTTCTCCAAATTAGAAAATAGTAATAAAAATAAAATACTAATAAGACATAAAGAGGAAACCAGCAAGTTAACAAATTATATTTAATTAATTACACTGTAAGAAAGTAAGCTTCCAAATTCTTAAACAAAGCCATGATTACAATTCTTTCAGTTATGCCCATTCAAACCTCTTAGTTCTCAATAGTGGCTTAAACTTTTGTTTCTGCCACAGTAGAAGGGACAAAAGACTGTAACTAATCTACCCCATCCATTCCCACTTTCTAGTGCAAACCGAAGGATGGACTTATTTGGGGAGGGGAGTAAGTTTGAGTTTGAAAATCAAGTAAAGAACAATACTTTGAGAATCATTTCTTTAAAAGAAAATCTTTGTTTCTCCACCTTATAACTCTTACAGCTTAGGTGTGAAGATAATAAATGCAAAAAGAGCATTTTCTCAAAAATCTCTTTTGAGCAAAGATCCCCAGAGCACTTGGTTCCAAAGTGGTCAGGAGAAGGAGCACCAGCAAAGTGGAGATGTCTGGCTGAGCTTTATAGAAAGAGACGTCCCTAGGCCGGGCTCGATGGCTCAGCCTGTAATCCTGCGCCTTGGGAGGCCGAGGTGAGTGAATTGCCTGAGCCTGCGGGTTCGAGACCCACCTGGGCAACTGGCGAAACCTCATCTCTACAATAAATCAGAAAATCAGCCGGGCGTGGTAGCGTATGCCTGTAATTCTGGCTACTTGGAAGGCTGAGGCA